TCATTTTTAAAAATCTGAGACAAAATTTATAATAATAGTAACCCCCCAAACAACAAGAAATAGATCATCTACCGAGCTTCTTCAAAGTGCTTTGAACTCAAGCTGAGTTGGACACGATAGACGGAGAAACTTGATTGAAAAAATTATGCTCCTCTCATCATCTCTCATGGCAACACACTATGCCTTTAGCCTAACTTAGATACATCATTTATAATTTGTTACTGTAGCTCATTGAGCTTCTGAGGGGAAGGGGGAGCTTTTGAATTACGGTGCAAGGTAGGCAGTTCATGATATTTTCAAGAGTAATATTTGCAGTTGTTTCCCTTGCACCGTTATTGAGAGGTCTGGCATCGCATCCTCATCTTTCCGGTACCAGAAGAAGTGATGCGGCACTGGTTACCTCCGCGGCATAAAATTGACCCCCAACCACATACCTGTTGTATCTAAATCTGTTAAATGATTCTTTTTGTACTGGGATGGGTTAGATAATTCACTTTACTTTAATATGGCAGATATACTGGACTTGAATTTGAATTTTGGGGCTGCAGTTGACGAAAAAAATAGCTGGTGGAACTATTTTCAGGATCTCAGAAATCTTGGAAAACAAAGTCTCAGGAGAGACAAAACTTCATAAAGTTGCGGAAGTCAGGGTTTCAAGACTTCGACTGAGATTATAACTTGATCTGAGAAACTTCTATTAAGCATTTTGTAAATGTTTCAGTAAGTACACGACCTTGTTGTTGAATGATACCATAACAAAAGACCCATCACACTCAGTTTTGAGTATTCAAGACTGCGTTACGATCTTGTTCGAAGTTGAGCAGTGACATTGGGCATCTTGTGGTCTTTTTTTAACCCTGAGCCTAGCACACCATTCACCCGAGAGGAATCACAAGTTCCGGGTGTTTTTATTAGATTATTCCTTCAGGAGGCAAAATTTGTTCAGAATCCATGAAAGATGATGAATGGTAACATGGAGAAATACTGGCTAAAGGCTAACAGCAAGACACTCGACTCGATTGTTATCTATTCTAGACCTGTTATCCCTTCCTACACACACACCTTTGCCTTCGCCTTTACTTTACGACTCTACCCTGTCTCACCTTTCTACTTCTAATCATCATACAGATCAGATAAATAAAGATTAGGCCTAAACGGACTGTGATCTCCCTCCCCACAGACTACAGACTACAGAGCAATTATCAAGGGTTCTCACCTGGAGGCCCTGTAATCCCCCCCCCCCTCCTTCCACATAAAATTCAAAATTCAACCACATGGTTGACTATACAAACAATACACCTGTAATGTTTTGTTGGGCCTTTTTATTTTGATTTTATATGGCTCTATAGGTCTATATGGAGTCTTGTGACAGGAATTGTGAGAGGGTGAAGCAGTTGTTCAATTTACAGTTAATTCAAATAGCAGGGTTTTTAAAAACCAAACCAAAACCAAACCATAAAAGCCCCTACCCAGAAGTAAAAGTACTGCTAAGTACTTGGTACTTCGGGAACTAGAGTCTACTTCTTGTGCTCTGACAGACTAATAAACAGAACACAATGAAATTGTAAAGGAGGTAGATCTAGATCTATGCCCAAATTCAGATAAAAATAAATACAAGCATGCACAATAGGTCCTAATTGCCGGATGAGGTGATTTTGTTATAGATTGAGAACATAGGCTCGAACGAAGGTAGATGTGTTGTTCTATCTGGATTACTGTTAAGTGGACACCACTGTACAAAGTGTAAAATCTATCTAGATCTATAGATACTTCAGTGATTTAAAATCTAATTTCTCTAATTTTACTATGGTTCGAGAAAAAGAGATGGAAATCCATTATCGGCAAAAAATCACAGCAGGGCATCCGAATGGCTCTGCCAGGCTTATGAATAGAAGGGAATGTTGAATAAAGAAATCAAATGGACGCAGCTCCACCCCATATAATCGAAGTAGCCATGATTTGTCAGAGGCAAAATTGTATCTTTAAACTGTTGGGCATCTCTCCTTCACAAGTTTGCAGAGATCAATTTGATACTAAATGACAGCCATGAAACAAATTAAATGTAATCATAGTCAATAAATTTAGGAATGAAAGTCATCAGCCAGTCTAAAAGAGTCAGTCCAAAACAAAGATCAAAAGAAATTTATTGGACAGTCAAGGGGAATGCAAACTAGGCCATTGAATAGGGCTTGATAAAGAAATCTTGTGACACTGACCTTTCAGTGCTAAATCTCTATAGCCTACAGAGCTGTTTTGGGTTGATGAAGTGTCTTTATCTGCTAAAAAGTACTGTGAGCTTTCACTGTTTGGCTGCAAGGCTGTAAAATTTATTGTCTTACTCTTTTAATGGAGATGAAAAGGAAGCTGATAGTAAATCTTACACCTGAGGTCTTTTGAGAGGAACTGAGGTGACTGTCAAGGTCAGGAGTACCTAGCTGTTCTAGCTCTTTTCTATAAATGTTCTGTATGTTTGTCTCAGCAAATACAATGAAGGGTTGTATTTTTATGTAATGAAATAATTGAAGTAGAACAAGCAGGCACGTGGGATAAAAGCTCTATAGTTCCACAATGGCTAGAGCACTCTAAGAATGTACACAGGGGCACAATACGAGGAGTCTTGAGCAACAATTTTTTTCTTGTGTGAGTTATGGGACAATTAAAATTTTGTGACGTGATTAGAAAAAAACAGCGAGAGAAAGCAAAATATTTCCTGTTTTACCTCTGTTTAGTTTGAGTCGAACAAAAATTAGGGGTTGTATTATTGTCTTCAATAACTGAATGGGTAAAAATCAATTTAGCGAGACTTGTTCTTTTAGTTGTTTTAGGTGTAAAGTTCCTGTCCCTTTGACAATGTCTGCATGCCCAGGATTTAAAAAGTATTTCATGGTATTAAAACTTTAGGTATGCTAATGTTCCAAGCACAACTTTTTCATGAACCAAGGACTGGTGGGATTTTGTTTGGAATTTGATTGAGAGGATCCTAAAACCTGGCGGATTCTTAAAAGTCATACACAATGAATCCACATCAGAATACCAAGGCAACAATTAACTGATAAAGCAGAACTGATGGTAATGTTTTAAATCTGTTGCCTTTGCCAGTGTAACTTTGATTCAAAAGTTAATACATATGAATTTCAACTTGTTCAGAGAATTTATGTTTTTGATCCACGATAATAATACAATTGTTGGATTGTCTGAATAAAAACAGTTTTACTACTTGATCTTTCTAAAGACTTGATGTATGCCCTTCAGTATTGAAGTCATCATTAACAGAGTTGGATTAGAGCACTATATCTACCTCTAGAGGTGTACTTTAAGTTGTTGAAATATGATTGTCAAAGATATGTGCTTCTATTGTTTCTGGGCTGCCATATTTTATATGACTCTTTTTGTTTGCTCTTTTTCAGATCATTTGAAGCTTCGTCAGGAAATGTGTTCTTGACCAAGCATCAACATGGAGAAAATTGTGCCTTCGAGTGCATTGTTGTTTATATTGTTACGGTTCATGATACTGAATAGACTTATTGTTGATGGTGAGTTAAATTCTTTGCATAATTCTAATTTTCACCTAGCTTTAGATTACCTTGATAGATATTTTGTTGTTCTACTGAGTCAACACACCCTTTAGTGGAGGAAAGTGTGTTTCACCTTTAATATTTTATTCTGGGTAATGGGTTCATGTAGTTACTTTTTATAGGCAGATTCCATTCAAAGGTCCCTGAAAGGTGTTTGCATTGGCCAGTAGATCGACTGTAAATCATAGTTCTCTTATAGAGTTGTCGTTTCTCGATTTTGGAAAAAAGTAATAATTTTGGTCTACAGATCGTTTTGAGACCGAAAAAAAACCTTTGGTGTTTGTGTACTGTACTTTTAAGATTTTTAAAACTGGAATCATTTTGACAGAATACTTTTGTCATAATGTAATTGGAAGTTCATTGATTCAAAATTTATTTCAATTCATTTGCTGTACAAACTGTTTTGTTCCTGCCTTTTCAGATCGTCTTTAAATAGTCATAACAGGATTTTTAGAGTTCAACTGGGGAATAGAGGAAAAAAGGATTGATGTGATCCTAGATTTTTTAAATGCTTACAAAAGTGACACAACTTAAAGGAGATCAAATCGGGAACTTGAGAACAAAATATTAGAAAGTTTTAGCTATAGAAAGTAAAAAGTCAAGACTAGTTTCCATGAGAAACCTGAAAGAGATACAAAATGATGTAACAGAATGAAGAACGAAAAAAAGCATTCCTTGCTCTCGTTGCCCGTGGTATTCTCAAGCCCGCTTTGGCCTAATCAGCCACATGGCCATCATTACAGGATAAAACTAGACCAGTGCTGCACAAAAGCACAAACACTGTGGTATGTTGTGATGGAACAGGGCAATTCTTTGAAACATGAAACTGCAATGACACACATAAAGCAAAGATGAGGACGATGACCTGTTAAAAAAAAATTCTGGCTGTGGTAGAGCCATTTTTTTTCTTTTCTTTTTTTTTTCTTGTTACAGACAACCTTCCTCTAGCAACACCACCCCCCCCTCCCTCCCCAAATCCCTGTAGCTCTATCAGTGTTTAGAATGTTTACAGCAGGGCACCATCTACATGTTACATGACCTGTAACTGCAGCTTTATTTTTCCTGGAATGGCCCAGTGTATACCACTGATGACTATACGGTCTTTACTGATTTCTCTTCTTTCACATTTTTCTCACTTTCCAACAGGAGCCCTAATTGATGAAGATCACTGGTATAAAGGCTGCTTTAAGCTGAAATACAATTCTGGAATGAGATACTTTGATGGAGATTTGAACCAGTGCTCCAAAACTTGTGCTAATGATGGGTAAGTTGCTTTGCCTCAGGGAAAAAATGCTAAGCTCAACTGTGTACCCAAGACACTACATCGTACACGCAGGCAAGCATGCGTTCACAAACGTGCATACATACATACTCATGTACACTCTCATATTCTCGAATACAAATAGGTACTTTTCAGTGCCCAGGTACAAACGTATTCACACACACACACACACACCGACACACACATACAGACACACACACACACACCTACACACACATACACACACATACACACACGCACACACACCGACACACACAAACAAACACTCACATGCAAACACACACACACATGCACACACATACACACATGTAAACACCCGCAATACACATACAGACACACACACACATGCAGACACAATGGCACACACACACACACACTTATTCACGTTCTCACATTCTTGCATGCACTATAGACAGGCACAAACACACATGCATACATACACACTCACACTGACACACACTCAGACACACACTTTCACACACATGCACACATACACACACATATACACTCGCTCAAACACTCACTTTCTTACACACACACACACACTCACACACACACACACACACACACACACACACATACACATAACACACTCAAACACACAGACACACACACAGCTGTATGCACACACACACGTGCACACAGACACACACACGCACACACACACACAATACTGCACACGATCACACTTATACAAAGTTTCCCTTGTCATGTCTTGGCTTACACAAATTCTTGCATGTTAGCCCACCAGCATAATATCCTTTGCAAGCTTTTCAAATGTATAAATCCTAGAAAGCTAACTTTTTCTGGAGAGAGAAAAAGGTGTTTCATCCTTATAATAATTTTACGTTCATTATGCATCTTTTCTTGACTTTTTTGGAAAATCTAGCATTGAAATTTTAACAGAATTATTTCTTGAGCACTTTGCAACTGACAACAGAATTTAAAAAACTGCAATAAAAAAAGCTTTTAACAAGTGCTTTGTGCACCTGAACAGCTGGCTAATGATAAACATGGTGGAGTCAGGCGCTCGTCAATGTTTGAACATATGAAGTTGTTGGTTTCATTCAAAAGATTAATCATATAATATGTCTTTGCTTTCAATGACAAAAATACCTATCTACCTTGAAATTATGTTTGAATGAGGTGGAGGTTGCCTTGTTTCAGAGGTAAAATTAGTGAGAAAAATAGCCTCCAAAGTTTGATGACATTCAAAGCTTGAGAGTCCTTGGAATCTGTAAATTAACATTTTTTGTGCCTTTAACCAACGTTTTTCCAGTAAAATCCACACAGTAATGTGTTTTTAAAAGGCTATATAAGTTGCTGAGCCAAAAAACCAAAATTTGATGGAAATTATGGGACAGGCAGAAAAATGCCATTAAAAAAAAAAATTGTTTATTTATATCAGTGCCTGATTTCAACGCAATGCCATAGGCCTACTATTACTTTCTTATGAATGGACAAACCTATTTCGGATAAACTTTTACTATTTCCTTTAAGTTTTTGTTACTCATTTCTATTAGACGAGCTCTGGATTTTTTTCATTCACAAGATTTGTTATTGCTGTGTCACTTCTCTGTATTATGCATTGCTGCATGTATTGTGTTTTAAAAAATGTCTACATGTTCCGGGGAAGTATGACTGGGTTGAAGTAAAATTTAGTGGGCAAGTGACGCTTTACATTATTTAAGTTAAAGCTACGAAAATGTGATGCACTGCTTTTCTTAAAAAGTTGTTTAAATAGTAGAGAACTGTTGTGTTGGCCTAAATTGTAGAAATGTAGCAGTGCAACACAGAGGCAAAGTAAACACCATTGTTTAGATTCCAGGAATTTTGGACCAGCTGAGATTTTGACACCCTCTCCCCCCCCCCCCCCAAAAAAAAAAAAATCAAAAAATCAACAACAACGAAGAAAAAAAAAATAAAAAAACATTTAAGGAGCAGTTGTTTTATATAAAGCCAAGCCTCGTCTGGTTTAATGGGATATGTATATTGTTTTATCGAATGATATGGTGCTCTTTTGATCATTGTAGTCTTTTTAAAAAAAATGGAAACCTTAATGATCTGTCAACTTTCATCTGTTTGTTAAGAGGTTAAGTACATGGCTTGTAGAGGTAAGGTAACCAAAGATGACCTACGTCTGTCTATTCTTACTGGTCAGCAGCAAATAGTTTAATAGGCTCCATCATAATTAACAACAGTGACTTATTGAGCTAATGGGTGCCAGAAAACGCCAATGGCAGTGAGTGCAAGGAGAGTATTGGTAGCAAAAATCAATCAGGATATTACAGTGGGCTCGCCTTTAACAGCCTACACGTCATATGACATAAACGAGGGAATGAGGTGAATTCCACAAGCAGTCCCTGTGTGCCACATTCATGAATGCAGCAAACAAAGGATTTTGTTTGTCATGTTTATGAGCAGTCCAGGGGGGAATGCAATATCATGTATACAACTCCCATGGAACTTCTTTTTGTTTGTTTGTACTCTTTCTTTGATATTTGACCCTAATCAGCAGAAACATTTTTTTTTCCAGAGGGCCAAGTTTGTTTTTGAAGTAAACAATTATCATGAAAGCTTGGAAGTTGTGGATTTAACCCGCACCCCTTCCCACTTCCATAAAAAGGGGTAAAATGGGGAGGGGGGATCTATTAAAATATTAGCGGATTTTTAAATAAATGGGAGTTTTCATACTTTTCTTTTCTCATTTATGCTGAACCAAGTATTACTTTAAGTAAAATATATTTAGTTTGATGTTTGATGTACATAGCAATCTACTATGGTTAAATTCTGAAACCTTTCAATTATATTTGAGGAATACAAAGAACAGGTGTATTAAATCACCCAGCCCGAATATGTGCATAGGCATTGAGTTAATGAGTTCTGAGTCTAAATGATTGCATTGTGAGGTTTTTATATTGCTGCGATTGTTTTACCTCTGCTAGATCTGTCAGTGCTTGCACAACAGTGCCTTTGTTTCTTCTATTTTCGCTTACACCTCGGTGGGCTGACAATCATAGCACAAGAAAAAAGGGGAGAGCACACAGGATTCGTGTGTTGGTACAGGCCAGTTATAAACTGCCTGGGATTATGCGCTTAGGGAGAGATTGAAGAAAACAGCACACTGATAGGTAGACAGCTTGATGGATGGATTATGTGATAGATACGTATTTTATAGCTGATATATTATGGAAGAGAGAGAGAGAGAGAGAGAGAGAGA